CTGCCCTCCCTGCACCGGGGTCGGCGCGGCGCCTCCCGCTGGCCACACCGGAGCAAGCTCTGACCATTGAGCTGCCCTCTGGCCTGGGTCTCACCCGTCCTCACTCTGCTCTGCCGCCTCCACCCTCTGGCTCTGGCCCCACGTTGCCCTCCCCTCCCCTCCCCTCTGCCCTCTTCTGGGGGGGGTGGCAGGCCTGCCAGCTGCTGCTCCGCCCCTTGCCTCGGGGCAAGCCACAGTCTGTGTGGGCTACGCAGGCTTGTGGCAAGGGGGAAGCCAGGTCTGCTCGGCTCTCCTTATAACAGGGCTGCTCCAACAAGCCGCCCTCCGATTGGCTGGGCTGGGCGGGGCCCCTCTCCTGCTCTAGCCCCTCCCTGCCAGAGGAGGGCAGCCGTCCCTTGGGGACAGTGAAACTGGCCGGGTGAGCCTGCCCCTGGTGCTGGGTGAGTTTCGAGGGCTCCGGCACTGGCCCGGGGCAGCTTGTCGCTCGCAGGCCCCGCAGAGAGGCCCCGGTGTGGGGTACAGCCTGGGTTTGGGAGTCGAAGGCCGTTCGCTGGCAGGGAGCCCTGGGGGAAGACTCCTGGCTGATTCTTGCACGCCGGGCAGGGATGAGGGACGCGGCTTCTGGTCACTTGTGTGCTCCCCGCGTCCGGGGCTCCCCTGCTCTGGCAAGGGGGAGCAGCCTCCAGGCTGCTGTGATTCCTCGGGGCTCTGGGAAGCTGGGACTAGCCAGAGGGCAGCGTCCCCCCTCCTCCCCCCCGCCTCGCACAGACCCCAGGACCTGCATGGCAGGGAGAGGGCCCCGTGGGGAGCTCCGGCTGGAGAATCAGGCCTGAGGTGGCTAAAGGCCGGAGCCGCAGCGCCCAGCCCCTTCGCATTCCAGCCAGGCTGCCGGAGAATTCACAGCTGCAGGGGGACCCTCCTGTCTGCCGCCTTCCTGGAAAAGCAGAGGGGGTGGGGTGAGGCCCCGGGGCAGCTGTCCGGGCCTGAAGGCTGCAGGGCAGCCCCTGATGGTCTGCTGAGGGCAGGCAGGAATTCCCTCCCCTCCCCCCCGCTCCTGTAAAGGGGGTGAAATGCGTTTCTCATGTCGCGGTCCTGGACAGGCACAGAACAGCGGGTGGCCTCAGCCCCCAGACCTTCCCCACGAAGGGAGAGAGGATCCTGTTCAGCCTGCTCGCGGGTGGGGAGCCCTTCTCCAGCACTTCGCTCCCTGGGCGCTGCTTCCTGCTGCCTCCGTGGGCGACCTGGGTCGGGGAGGCTGCGTAGGGTCAGCAGGGCAAGATTCTCATTCGTGGCCCTTTGCCTCCCTTGGGAACGGAGCGGGGCCTAGTGGCTAGAGCAGCAGGAAGTCCTGGGGTCTGTCCCCATCTCTGGGTGGGGAGTAATGGCTAGTGGTTAGAGCAGGGAGGGCTGGGAGCCAGGACTCCTGGGATCCATCCCAGCTGTGGGAGGGAAGTGAGGACTAGTGGTTAGAGGAGGGGGGGTGGCGTGCTGGGGCTGGGGCCCTGCAGACAGAGTAACGGTGCCACCTCCCGCCCGGCAGGAGCAAACCACTTTCATCTGCGTCTGCATCGCCGAGTTCCTGTCGCTCTACGAGACCGAGCGCCTCATCCAGGAGCTGGCCAAGTGCAGAATCGACACCCACAACATCGTCGTCAACCAGCTGGTGTTCCCGGACCCCGAGAAGCCCTGCAAGATGTGCGAGGCCCGGCACAAGATCCAGTCCAAGTATCTCGACCAGGTAGGGAGGGGCTGGGCACCCCCCCC